GTAACAACAACTGGGTTTCCAGCAACAAAATTTGCTAATTTAAATTAATTTTTTTTTTTGTAATGTGGTGTTTATAGTAAAACAATCATTTATAAATTAAGTAGATTTGTAATATAACATGTTCCCTAAGTGCTCCAAAACTTCTTATTTGTCCATTTTTTTCCTGGAACAACAGTTTTTTGGAATTCACTTCCTTTTTCTTTTTTTGTTTTTTGTCATTTAACAAATGTTTGTGTAACATTTGTTAAATGACATTCCTTATAATATATCTTTGTTGACTTTAAAAAACAAACTGTTAAACAATCTTGTTCTTGAACATGTAACATAGAGATAGACATGTGAGAATTTTTGACCAGCTGTTTAAAGTTTGGCTTTGACTTTTAGTTACTGCCATTGCTTATCTAACAGAAAATTCAGGATTTTTTACAATTTAAGAGCATTTTATACACACTTCAACAAATCAACTGATTGCCCTCTTCTTACAACTGGAAGTATTTGCTGAAAGTCCCCACCTGTGAGAGTAACTTTTTCATTAAAAAGAAACTTGTTATCGCAAATATCAGCAGGTCCATCCTTAAAAATCAATGTGGACTGTTTTATTTTCATTGTTAGGTTTTTCATCTAGTGTAGAAAAGATTGCAACAGCAACATGCAATTGTCAATTGTTGATTGACAGCAACATGCAATGATCTCAATTTGAAAATTTAATAATGGTCTCAATTTGCTTCATTAATAAACAATAGTTTTTGTTGTCATTTTCTTAATCTAAATTTGTTTAAATAAAACTTGTTTAAAAGTTTTTGTTAGAATTTGTTTAAATAATTCTTAAATAAAACTTGGAACACATGCACCAAATAAATACGTTAACTAACAGAAAAGTAAGGAAACTATTCAAAATAACAGTTTAAGCAGAATCAGAAAAAAATAAAAAATAATAGTCTAATGTTGGTAATTTATTGTTGACTTATCATTTTTTAATTTATTGCCGACTTATAATTTATATTTAACTATTTTAGTTTGCATCAGGTCAACACAACAACATAGAAACAAGGTTTTCAAAGTATTGCTGACCTCAGACACTTTTAGGTTGACATTACCTAAAAGTAAATACTCTTAACTACACTTAATCAAATACTTTAGTTGGATTTAACCATAATTATTATGCAAATTTTTATATTATACTATTTTGAATTGTTATCACATTTGTTTTATTGTACCTCTATCATCATTCTTTTTCATCATCAGAATCCCCTTATCAATGTACCTCTTACAACTACCTTGAAGCTGACTGGGACTCTTTATGAGATTTTCTCTTCCTGATGACACATGTGCTTCTTATATAACTTCTCCAATTCGCTTCGACAATCAATTCTTTAGAAAACAGTTTTAATATATCTTTTACAAATGTGTTGCAAAGCATTCTGTCGTGGTTGCAAAGCATTCTTCCATCAATTGAATCTTACCTCTTGCAAAATTCACCAGACTTGCTTGCTCTTAGTGAGACTAATTTAAATTCTGCTATTCTTTCTTCAGATCTCAGTGTTGATGGGTACTATCCTTTGTATATTGTATATTTAAAGACTCCAGTAGTCACATACTTGGCTTGGGGATATACATACACATTAATTCACTTATTTGTTGTGAAATCAGGTTTGAATCCTTTGACCATTCTTTTATGTGCTTCTGCATAGCACCTCTTTGCTCTATCACATTTCTATTTGTTCTATATTGTTCTCCTTCTTCCTAAGACTGCACTTTTTTAGATGTAATTTCTGATCAAATTGACAATGCTCTCTCTCTCTTTACCCTTTGCCAATATTGTTGTTATTGGTGACTTTAATGCTTATTACACTGAATGGCTTAACTCTATCGCTACTGACCCTGCTCGTGCTAAAGCCATTAACTTCTGCATTTCTTAATATTTTAACTTTGTAACTTTCCTGACTACCCTATTCATTTACCATCACTCCTTGTTTGTGTCTTGACCCTAGCTCATGTTCAGTTCCTTTTTTAACTCCTTTAGGTGGTTCTTTTTATGCAATGATCTCTATAAATCTTTTATCTCATACTTTTTATTTAGACTCACTTTATCATCGCACTACTTACTACTACCCTAAAGCTGGCTGGGATTCTTTGTGACGGTCCTTGGGTTGATGTTGTTCCTCTTACATAACCTTCTGGATTCAAGCAGAAATGAAAGCTTTTATTCCTTGTTGTCGGTTTCGAGTCAAGCCTTATTTTACTCCATTGTTTTTACCTTCTTGTGCACTTGCTATATCTAATTGTAATCATTTTTCTTCATCTTTTTCAAAAGAACAACTCTCTTGAGAAAAAACGCCTATTTATTATTGCAAGAAATTGATGTAAAAAGGTGCTATCTAATGATAAGCTCCATTATCCTCACTTCACTAAATCTTGTATCTTATCTCAGAAGTTAGGCTATGGAGACTATAAGAAAATCTTTAGCAGCTTTAAATTCGACTCTTGAATGTTATGACCAGTCTCTTCCTTCCATTCCAATTTAAACCATTGTTAGACATTCATATCACTCCAGCTTCTGTTGCTAAAGTTGTATCTCAATTAAACTCTTTTACAGCTTGTGGTCCAGAAAATATTCCTATTATAGTCTTACAAAAGTGTTCTCTAGAACTCTTTTCAATTCTCTTTAAACTATTTAATAATTGCTTGACTAAGTCTTTCTTTTCTGGTTGCTGGGAAATGGTATCTGTTATTCCAATTTTCAAAAACTTAGGGGAACATTCTAACCTCTCCAATTATCTTCCAATCAGTCTTCTTTCTGTTATTAGCAAGACCGTAGAGTTTTTGATCAATAAATTTCTCACATCCTATCTTGAGTCAAATAACTGTTAGACAGTGTGGTTTTGATCCTCTTGTTCTACAACTGCTAACTGCTGTGAATAAAAGTTGTTATTGTGCATTAGATTGAGGTGGAGAGGCCTGTTTACATATCTAAAGCTTTCAACAAAGTTTGGCAATGCTGATCTTTTCCAAAAGCTTGTTTCATATAATGTATCAGAGTGAGAGTGTATGAAATTTTAAAAATCTGCTTATGTCTGTCAACTTTAAAAAACAAAATAACAAATGATCTTTTATTTGAATATGTCACACAGAGTTGGCCATGTGCAAGGTATAATTTATTAAAATTTATTAAAGGATGTAATTTATTAAAAGTTTTAAAAGTCAATGTTTAAAAAAATGAATAACCTAAATAAATAAACCTGAGAAATCTTTTTACAGGCAAAAACTTGTATATAGTTTACATATCATCAATTTTCATTGCATTCATTGCATTGCCCAGTTTTTTATAAGTACTGCAGTATTAGATTTAAATTTTAAAACAACTATGCCATTCATTTTTAATTATGTTTTTTAAGGTTGCTTCTTAAAGTTAAACTGATAAAAAATCTTTTAGCAGAACGACGATGTATGGCTCTTGATGACGATGATGCTCTTTGTTTTTCTTCACAAAGCTTAAAAGCTATTTAATGTATTTGCAAATAAATTAAAATGCAAGAAACAGTTAAAAAATACTTTTAAAATGGTTAAAAAATACATTTAAAAAATGCTGTTTAATTACTATTTTTAAATATGTACTTTTACTTGAGTATTTTTTCTATTTAAGATTTGTACTAACCTACAATATAAATCATGTGCATTACTGAGTAAAATAATTTATTACATATTAGTATTGTTTTAATTAATATTTATTAAGCGTGCGAATTAACTAATTATAGTCTATTTGCATGTTTAATAAAAAAAGAAGAAAAGTCTTTCTATTTAATGAAAATTGAGAAAACTAAAATTTTTTATATTTGAATTAATTGAAACAATGTGTTGAATTAATTTAAAGCTTTATTAATCAAAGAAAAAAATCTTAAACTTGCTAAAACATTCAACTAATTAAACTTATTTTGTAAAAATTAGAAAAAAAGAAAAAGCATAGGAAAAAATGTATTTTATAAAAATTTGAATGTATTTAATGCAAACAAGATCAAAACAACTAATTTTACAGTAAATGTAAAAAAATGACAGTTTTGGCAAAGAACAAAAAAAAAATGACAGTAATTACTAAGAAAAAAGTACAATCAATAGTTTAAAAAGTCAAACATCTCAACAAAGTTACATAAAATGTTACATATCAGGGCCTATTCTAGAAAAAAAATGTGGGCAGCAGTACCAAATGTTCTGACAAACTTTAGCCAAAAATTAGCGGGTCTATTTTGCGAAAAAAAAACAATATTTGCTGTAAAAACGTAAAAAAAATGTAAAAGATAAAAAAAAGGTCCTCAAATTTTAGTTTATCGGCGCCCAAATATCAGCACCCATATATAATACTTTTCCAAAGCAATCAAACCATTATTCTTGGAAGTAAATGAAAAAGTCTATCAAGATTTTTTTTAAAGATATAAACACAATTCTAGTATACATTTCACATGTTAATTAAATCTAAGATTATTTTAAATTTAGGATGTTAATTAAATCTAAAGGTAGTACACTCCTATTGGCTCCCACATAGTTACATTAAAATGTTTTGCAAGTTACACATTTAACAACTCCTGGTGCCCAATGTAATAATAGCCAGGGCTAGGGAAAAGTTTATCATATTATTATATATTATAAATTTATGCATTTACTATTTATTAAATACGGCATATATATATATATATATATATATATATATATATATATATATATATATATATATATATATATATATATATATATATATATATATATATAATTAACTAATTAACTTCTGACAAGGTTGCAACCATTATTAAGTTAACAAAGTTAAAAACCATTATTAAGTTACAAACAAAGGACAGGATTAAAGAACGACTAAAGACTTAAAAAAGTTGTATGAGTCAGGAAAGTAAAAAGAAGAGTTTTGATTGTGTGATGTTGATGTGTGAGTAAAAAAGATAGATAATTAATGTTGGTGTGTGAGTAAAGTGTGAAAAAATTAAAAAATTTTATAGCATAAAGGGAAAGAAACAGTAAAAAGATTCGACTTTACTGAATGACTAGCAAAGCGAAAATGAGTTTTGGATCAGATTAAAGATTGGCTTTTGGATCAGATTCAAGATTGGCTGCTTGTTCAAAGCAATCAAAAACTGAAGACTTTATTTAGACAGGAGTATGAAGTTGGGTCATCAGAAAATACTTTAGATGTAAGATTTTCAGTAAGATTTTTATTATAAATAAAAAACAATACAAAATATCAGAGTATTAACAGTGCCATGTTGCGCATGGATGGTGTCCCTGTTAATGCTTTTAGTGTACATTGTCGAGGCTCCATAAAGAACCCTATCTTATAACATAGGGTTAATTAACAGGACTGAGAAAATTGCATAGCTCATTGCTTGGGAGCCTGTGCTCTATGAATGAGTCAAGTTCTCTTTAAACTTAAATATGCCAAAAGTAAATCAAAATTTTAAACATAAAAAACTATCCCCATCACCAAACTGTTTTAGTTTATCTTTTACTAATATTCGTGGTCTGCAAGGCAACCTTCCATCAGTTGAATCTTATCCCTCGCAAAATTCATCAGACTTGCTTACTCTTAGTGAGACTAATTTAAATTCTGCTATTCTTTCTTCAGATCTTAGTGTTGATGGGTACTATCCTTTGATTTGCAAAGACTCCAATAGTCACATCTTGGCTTAGGGGTATAGATATGCATCAATTCACCTAATTTTTGTGAAATCAGGTTTAAATCCTTTGACAATTCCTTTTGCGTGCTTCCACTTAGCATCTCTTCACGGCTTGTGGTCCAGACAACATTTCTGTCATATTCTTACAAAATTGTTCTTCAGAACTCTCAAATTTTCTCTAAAGTGCTTGACTGAGTCTTGTTTTCCTGCCTGCTGGAAAATGGCATCTGTTGTTCGAATTTTCAAAAACTCCGGTGAACATTCTGACCCCTCCAAATATTGTCCAATCAGTCTTCTTTCTGTTGTTAGCATGGTCTATGAGTCTTTGATCAACAAATTTCTCACATTCCATCTTGAGTCAAACAACTTGCTGTCAGACAATTAATACGATTTTCGATCCTCTCGCTCTACAACTAACTTGCTAACCGCAGTGACTTGTTTCAACAAAGTTTGGCATGTTGGTCTTCTCGATAAGTTTTTTTGTATGGTGTACCTGGGAAAGTTTTTGAGATCAAATTATTTCTTTCTAACCGCTTTATTAAAGTCATCCTCGAAGGCCAACACTCTTCTTTATTTCCAGTAACTTAAAATCTCAAAGTTCTAACCTTGGTCCTATTTTGTTTCTTATCTACTTTGATGATCTTCCCAATAACCTTACATCTAAAGTAGCTCTTTTTGCTGATGACTCAACTTAATACTCCTGTCTTGACAAAAAGTCTTCTCTTTTCGATTGCTTAGAACAGGCAGCTGATCTTGAATCTGATCTCGCTTCTGTAACAGATTAGGGTTCGCAGTGGCTTGTAAATTTTAACTCCAGCAAAACTCAGCTATTTACTGCAAACAACTATTGCAGCACTGCTGATGAATATTGAGCAGCCGTGGCACAGTGGTTAGAGTTCTGGCTCACAACTCAGAGGTCCGAGGTTCGATGCCAGCTCTAGCCCAACAAGCGACATTGGTACGGAAGGAAGCGTAAACTTCCTGTTAAATGCTCACCCGCGGTGCTCTATGATAAGACCGTTAGGACTTCTGGGAGCACCTAAATACATACAAAAAAAAAAATATTGCTTATATTGATGAATGGCAACCCTCTCACTGAGTCCTCTTCTTTACCTCTTCTTGGATTATCATTTACTACTGACCTTATCGATTGCTAAATTAACATCTGCTAAGGTTGCCTCTCTTTATCGTGCTCGCCATTATCTTACTCCTTATAATTCTCTTACTCATTACCCATTATCTTACTCCTTATCTTACTCCTTATATTACTACCTCTATAAATCTCTTATTCGTACCTGTATGGAATATTGTTGTTATATTTGGGTTGGTTCTTCTAATCATGCTCTTTTTCTTCTAGACAAAGTCCAAAAGTGCATTGTAAATGTAGTTGGACCCATTCTATCTACTAAACTTGAACCTTCTTTCCCATTGTCATTAAGTTGCATCTTTTTCTCTTTTCCTCAAATACTATCATGACCATTGTTCAAATGAGCTTTTATCTTTAGTTCCATCAACTAAAACTCATTCTCTCTCGTCATTCATCAAAGTCTCATTCTTATACTGTATCTGTCCCTGTATGCTCCAAAAACTTTTATTTATATATCTTATTTCCCCACACTTTAACCTTTTATATATATATACACATTTTTTATCTTTCAAAATAATTTTAATAGAATTTAATATGCTTATGTAAGTTTTATACTTAGGTGAGAAATAAACGAAAACCTAATTTTTTACAAATCAATATTTACAAGATTTTTTTAAGGTTGACGATTTTTAAAGCCTGATTGCAGCAAAAGTTTTTATTCTTATCAGTGGCTGATTAATATATTTTCTGATTATTTTTTTCTAGTTTTGAGATGTTTTTTTTGTTGATAATAATTAAAAATTAATAAACGTCTAAATAAGGCGTAGAAAAAATTTTCTGAAAGATAAACGTTCCTGCTTGTGTATTTAGCACATAAGTGTTAAAGATTAAAATGTAAACATTTTTTATATAGTTAACAAAACAGCTTATTTGATTCAAAACTTAAAAAAAAAAAAAAGCAGGTGCAATGCAACTATCAAGAAATTAAAAGCTATGAGAGAACAAAATACAATAATTAAAAAAAAATTATCTAGAAAAAATTAATTGAATAAAATATAAAGAATATCTAATAACTTAAGAAGTTTGTTTATAATAACAACATAGGAATAAAATAATGAATTAGTGCAAAGAAAATGATTAATATTCAAAAAAAAACTTTAATGCAAAAAGAAACAAAATGTGCCTTGCATATAAATTTTTAAATTTTTTAAAATTTTTTTAAGTTTTTTTAACAATATCTGATAGTTATTGTTTAATAATTCTGTTAAATTACAGAAATTGCAGAAGAAAAGATTTTGTCATGCATTATCACTAAAGGATGTCTTAATGGGATATATAATTAATGTTTGAAGAGGTAAGGTAAACTAATAACCAGTTTCCTTAAAGGTATGAAGAGTTTTAACCACGATTATTACACTTGTAAAATTATTTATTTGCACACCTTTTTTTTTCTTTGTAATATACTGAGATTTGTACCAGCATTTTTTAAATTTAAACCTTGTATATATTTGCTCTATTTAATTTTTTATATATGTATATATTTTTTATTTTTATTTTTTTGAACTTTTTGTATAATTATTTTGATAAAAATACAAAATAAATTATTTTATTGATTTCCCGTGTTATTTATGTGTTACTTTTTTAATTATCATTTTTTATTTAACATGTAAATAAATGTGGTACATTAAGTTTTAACAATAAAAAATTGTGGTACATTAAGTTTTATCATTTTTTAAGAAACTGGCTAGAAAGTTTTTTAAATAATGGTGTTTTTGTTTTTTTTATTGTTTTATAATATTTTATAATATTTTATAAAAATGAGAAGAGTGTTACTACATTGACTAACAAATAAGTGATACATACGAGGAGTGTTTTACTGTAAAACAAGTAAAACTTTTTTACTGTAAAACATATGCAGAGTGTTGCTACATCGATTATCTTATAGCCTGCTATTACAACGACTATCTAGTAGCCTGCTGCTACAAAGAAGTGTGCTACATCAACTATGTCTATTGCTACAAGAAAGTGTCTCTACATCGACTCAGGGTTTGGTTTGGGCAAGCAATCTATCATTTACAAAAAAAATACTTCATTAAAGTTTTTAAACTTTTTATGATCTGGTTTATTAGCATTTGTTTTAAAACAACAGTTTATGGAAGAAACTTTTCGACTCAGCTCTGATATATATGTGTGTGTGTGTATATATATATATATATATATATATATATATATATATATATATATATATATATATATATATATATATATATATATATATATATATATATATATATATATATATATATATATATATATATATATATATATATATATAGTATTGCGTACTAAGGTAAGCAATCTGACGTCATACTGAAATAGCCTGCTGCTGGGGGCTTCAGTACATACATCGACTGACAAATAGCCTGACTCGCAATGGAGTGCTGCTACATCCACTGAGGGTTTGAGATGGGGTAGCAATCGTTTCATTCATCATTCTTTGTTTTTTTTTCTTCTTTTTCTAAAAAAGCTGTATGGGTTAAGGTAAGCAAAAAAAGTGAGCAAGTACTTATAAAAATACGCTTTAGTAAGTGTATATATATATATATATATATATATATATATATATATATATATATATATATATATATATATATATATATATATATATATATATATATATATATATATATATATATATATATACACATATATATCAGAGCTGAGCATCACTACTAAATAATTGAAAAAGCTACTAGTACTTTCTGTATCTTTGAGAACCAAAAGCTTTATTAAACTTTAAAATTATTCTTCTAGTCTGCTACCAAAAATTTTTTTATTTTAAAAGTTTTTTAAAAAAGTCAATAATTTTAAATATTTACAACTACCCATAAAATTTTTTCAAAAAAAAAAAAAATAAGCGAAGTTGCATAGATTACTGTTTGAGGCAGGGTTTTCCACTGGGATACAACACGGTTTGTGAATATTTCTCTTCTTCCATGCAATCCAGTACTTGTCAGTCATTGAATATAGTCTTGCGGTAACTTTGGACAATATGGGATAATATAAATTGACCCTCTTGTAGTGTTTTATGCTTTATTAAATTTAAATCTATTTAGTGTTGTTAATTTTTGAGTGAATTATAACTAATATTGATGTTACCATCATCTGCCTGGTGTGTTTCAAATCGATAGGTATTTTAAAGCATTGCTGCAGAAGTTCAAACTGGTGATCCCTGGTTTCCCCAACCTCAGGGCTGCGTTGATGTTATTTGTCATCACAGTCCTCCTATTTTGGGCATTCCATCTCTCCTAGGCCATTGCAGCTGGCTTTAAAATAAATGGCCTTAGGTTTAAATTATAGGTTGGCACTTTCTAGGTATCCTTAAAAGCAAAAAATGTTTGTTGTCTGAGCTGCGCAATGACAGTGCTTTGCTAGAATGATATCATCATTGCAACTTTCTAGAATTTCCTTTTACTAGAAAAACGTCAAGTTGACCAGCTCAGAATCAACTGTTTTTCCTACTTGACTAAAAAAAACTGGTTGAATACACTAACATAGTTTGATTTACTGTCTGAAGTTGTTGCATCAACTCAAGTAATTAAAAAGAAAAATCAAATGGTAAATTTCTAAATTTAAATGGTAGCAGAATAGCGCTTCAGATTTTTTTTTGTAGCAACCTCAATCCGCTATCAAATTTTTTTAGTGAAAGCACTTTGTAACTCTGCTACCAAATAAAAAGTCTGCATGTAGCGGAGTTGCAAAGTAGCAGACCAAGTAGCGCTATGGACCAAATAATGTGGATAAGAAACAAAACAGGACCAAGAATAGAACCTTGAGGTACCTCAGAAGTTACTGGAAATGAAGAAGAGTGCTGGTCTTTGTTTTCCACACTTGCGTGGTCAAAGGGTTTTCATAATGTGGTTTTATGTAACAAGGCCTTGGGGAGATTAATTTTATACAATTTAAAACTCTTTCTTGAAGGTGTAAAATCTTGAAATTGTTAGTGGTACTACCATTTTGTTGGTAGTTAAACCTCAAGTGTGAGTTTACTTTGCCTTGCTTAAAAATTAGACTTCAAATAAGAAAACTCATCTAACATGTACTGCCCCATTTCATACATTTACTAAGTTACTACCTCTATTAAGATCATTTACGAGGCAGTTTACCACCAAAAGACCCCATCCAAGGTTTACAAACTTGTCTTATACTTAGCCACAATTAAGTTTTATATATTAGTTTTTTTCCCCATGGCTATATTTAAGTTTCTTCACCATGGTTACTTGCCCTAATAAAAGATCAGTGTTTATTGTCATGGCTTCAACAATTTAATATAAAATATATGTTTAAGGATATGTCATAAGGATTTATGTGACTTTTTTTTTTTCACTTTTCTGTATTTTTTGTTATTTTATGATCATTATAACATTGAAAACATTAAAAAAAAAAGAAAACAACATTAAATAATTTATAACTTTCAAAAAATGGATGATAAAGTATCAGCTGCCCAGAAAGCACGTATTGAAAAAAATAGGCAACGTGCATTGTTACTTCGCTCTGCAAGACTTACCAATCACCCCTATACCAAGAACAACAGTGAAGGGATTACTGTTGTTGTGAATGGATCAAGATTAATTGATTCTGGTGCAGGGTTTCTGATGGAACCTGAAGATGATAATAATATTCAGTGCAATACAATTATACAGGAACCAGGTATAATTTATTACTTATAATATTGCATTAAAGCTCATAAACATAATTTTGAATTTTGCTTTGTTCTCTTTTAGCACCATACTTACTTGACAGCCAAGATTTATGCAGAGAGTGTCATGCTAAGTTTTCTGATTCATTTATGCTAAAAAACTTTAACCTAAATGTATGTGATGGATGTAGGTAAATATTGTATGTGTTGGTTTTCAATGATTGAATGTCAATTAAGATGTTTGTGTGGTAGATGGTATATGTGGTATGTGATACATAGTATGGTATATTTAGTATGTGATAAATATGTGATATATGTAGTATGTAGATTAGCACATCTGTGTAAGGATATGATAGATATGGTAAAAAAAGAAACCATTATTTAAAATTGTTTTAATTTCAGAGATAAGGATAAACACAAGCTAATTACTAAAACTGATGCCAAGCAGGTAAAAAATAATTTTTGCTATAAATGATTTTTATTTTAAAATATTTTTTAAAAAATGGTAGATAAGTTGTCAAATTTAAATTAAACATGTTTTTCAATCAAATATCAAGTTTGGTATTTCAAAGTTTCTGAGAAAAAAAATCTGTGCAGTGAATTTTCATTTTTTTTAGAATTCATTGGGTGTGGCCTGGGTGTGTAAAAGTTGTCTATTTATTTCAGAAATACTCTGGTAAAATATCAAGGCTCTAGGAAGCTATTTTGAGGTGCCCCAAGACCTTTGAAATTTTAATGGGTCCCTAATTTTATATAAAAAAAAGTTTTTCAAAAGTATGTCATGTTGGGTCTCAAAAGAAGCAAAATTTAATAAAAATTTCAAAAATAATAACTATTTTGATAAAAAATAATTATTTTATAATTTATTGAGTAAAAAATGACTTTTTTAACTAAAAATTAAAAAAGTGTATTTTTTTGATAATAATTTCAAAAAACTTCTTATATAATAATTTTATCAAAATAGTTATTATTTTATCAAAATATTTTATCAAAATAGTTATTATTTTTGAAATTTTTACAAAATTTTGCTTCTTTTGAGACCCAAGATGACATACTTTTGAAAAACTTTTTTTTATATAATAATAGGGACCCATTAAAATTTCAAAGGTCTTGGGGCACCTCAAAATAGTTTCCTAGAGCATTGATATTTTACCAGAGTATTTTTGAAATAAATAGACAACTTTTGCACACCCAAGCTAAATGAATTCTAAAAAAAATGAAAGTTCACTGCACCCTACTGTGTATATATATATATATATATATATATATATATATATATATATATATATATATATATATATATATATATATATATATATATATATATATATATATATATATATATATATATATATATACACAGTAGGGTGCAGTGAACTTTCATTTTTTTTAGAATTCATTTAGCTTGGGTGTGTATATATACTCAATAGTATATATGTATATATACTCAATAGTATATATATATATACTATTGAGTATATGAATCAGTCATTGCTTACTCTTTTTGCTTACCCTTATAGCATACAGCTTTTTCAAAATAACCATGAACATTAAAAGAAAGATTGCTGCCCCAGTCCCTTTGTCAATGTAGCCGTACTTCTACCAGTAGCAGGCTATAAAATCGTTGATGTATGTACTGAACCTCCAGCAGGTTATTTCATTTTGACATCAGACTGCTTATCTAAACACGCATTTATAGTATATGTCAAAAAAAAATCCCCTCATAATCTTGTAAGTCAACCTTAAAAGATTAATCTAAAGTTTAAGATCTAGACTTTAAGGTGAGTTTAGGAAACTCTTAGAGAAAGTTTGTGTTCAGGTAGCATTCTGCTATCAAACAAATCCCAGATTCAAATAAACATTCCAAATTAAATATATAATAAACATTCCAAAGTACAGAAAATGAACAGAAACAATTCTATACTGATACTTCAATAAGTTAAAAAGATGAACTTTTGTTAGGATGTACAGTTGGTATTGCCTGTATAATCATTCATCATGTATATTATGTGTAAACTGTAATATCATTTACTTTTGTTGACTTTGATGTCATAAAATCTTAAAATTTGAAATTTTGAATTAAAATTACAACCAAAAAATATTATAATTTAAATTTATATTATAAGCTTTATTTATTTTTTAGAAATTTTGTTTAAAAGATTGTGACTTTGATGTCAGAGAACCACCCTTAAAGTTTATATTAAAAAAAAATCCACATAATGATCGGTGGGGAGATATGAAGTTATTTCTTGAAGATCAGGTAAAGCTTAAATTTTTTTTTTGATAGCAAATAAAAAATATATATAAAACATATAATAATATAAAAATATAGAAATACTATTAAAAAAAACTAGAATATAATATTACCATCTATCATAATTATCTAGTAACAATTTTAATATTTTGTTCAACTAAAAAAAAATGAAGAAATGCTGACTTTCGGAGACTTATCCCGGGATTAGTCTCCAAAATTTCCCGGGATTTCGGGATCGTCAAAAAAAAGGAAAAGTTAATAAAGTTCAAGCTTATAATTGTGTTTTAGTAATTTTTATATCGTCTTTGGTATAGTAGCTGTTTGGTTGTGTAATTATTTATTCCCTTTGCAATGTTTTTCTTTTAAAACTCTCTTTTTCTCTATTTTACTAAAAAAAAAACTCAAAACATTATTGCTTGTCTGAAAATATATATATGTTTATATATATATTTGTTTATATATATATATTCTATCTGTTGACCAGCCTTGCACCCCTTCGTCATCTATTAGGCTGGCGCAGATGTATTTTTAATACATTGTTTCCAGTTTAGGATGTTGAACGCTGGATCGTCTTGACTCGATTCATGGGTTTTGCTTGTGTCTCTGTTTTTATGACTAGACAACTCATTCTATTATCTCCAAATGAGGGTACAGCTCTAAAACTCAGTTTTATGGTTCTGAGGCCAGCTGGTAGTCAGGTTTCCCGAACTCTGTCGTAGCTCTCAGAGAGGCTGATTCCATCAACAGCTGAAAAATATCAGAGTACTAACAGTGCCATGGGTGGTGCATGTATGGTGTCCCTGTTTGTACTTTTGGTGTGCATTGCCAAGGCCACATTGGAACCCTTTGTTACGGCTTAGGGTTTATTAGTGGAAATGAGGCAATTGCTTGAGCTTTAGAACAGTGTACTGAGTACTATCAATGTTTCGAGTCAAGTTCTTTAACAAATTTAAAAATGAATAAAGTAACAAAAACTATAAAACACAAAAAACCACAGTCATCACCAAGTTCGCTAAACCTATCATTCACCAATATTCGTGGTCTTCGAAGTAACTTTTCTTCTGTTGAGTCTTATCTCTTGCAAAGTTCACCAGACCTGCTTGCTCTTTGTGAGACTAATTTGAGTTCAGCTGTCTCATCTTGTGATCTTAGTGTTGATGGTTATCTTCCTTTAATTCGTAAAGACTCCAATAGTCACATGCTTGGCCTGGGCATTTACATTCGCAAGAATTCACCCATTTGTCGGGAAACTAGGTTTGAATCCACAGACTACTCTTTTATGTGCTTTCGTTTAGCACCACTTCACTCTATCACCTTTCTCTTTGTTCTATATCGCTCTCCCTCATCTCAAGACTGCACTCTTCTTGATGTTATTTCTAATTATATAGACCAAGCCCTCATTCTTTATCCATCAGCCAATATTGTTGTTGTCGGTGACTTTAATGTTCATCACACTGAATGGCTTGGCTCTAGTGTCAGTGACTCTGCAGGCATTAAGGCCCACAACTTTTGTCTTTCTCAATCCCTCACTCAAATAGTCAACTTTCCAACTCGCTTTCCAGACAACCCGAATCATTTACCTTCTCTACTCGACTTATGTCTTGTTTCTGATCCTAGTCAGTGTTCAGTTTCTTTACACTCACCCTTAGGTGCGTCTGATCATGGTTTGGTCTCTCTAAAACTATTATCTCATTCTTCTTTACAATTAGAATCCCCCTATCATCGTACATCTTACAACTACCTTAAAGCTGACTGGGACTCTGTTCGTGACTTTCTTCGTGATGGCCACTGGGTAGAAATCTTTCGTCTCCCTGTTGACAAATGTGCTTCTTACATAACTTTGTGGATTCAGGCTGGCATGGAATCCTTTATTCCCTCTCGACGATTCCTGGTCAAGCCTCACTCTTCTCCATGGTTTTCCTCACATTGTGCTGCTGCAATTGCCAATCGAAACCATTACTTCCATATCTATCAGCAAAACAATTCTTCAGAAAACAGACGTCTCTTTATTACTGCTAGGAACCATTGTAAAAAGGTTTTGTCTAACGCCAAAACCCGCTATTCTCAGATCATGAAATCTCGTATTTCATCACAAAAATTAGGCTCTCGTGACTTCTGGAGAATCTTTAATAGTATCAATAATAAGGGCAAGTCTGTAATTCCACCTCTTTTGTACGGTTCAGACTTTGTCACCTCACCTAAAGCTGAATTGTTTGCCAAGATCTTTTCATCAATATCATCTCTTGATGCCACTAGTTGCGTTCTACCTAATATAGCCGTCAAACAGGTTGATCCATTGCTCGACATTCATATCACTTCAGCTTCTGTATCTAAAGTGATTTCCCGCTTAGACTCTTCTACAGCTTGCGGCCTGGACAACATACATGTTATAGTCTTGCAGAAGTGTTCTCCTGAGCTGTCGTCTATCTTTTCAAAACTATTTAACAAGTGCTTATCAGAGTCTTGTTTTCCAGCCTGCTGGAAAGCAGCATCTGTTATCCCTATTTTTAAAAATTCTGGAGAGCGATCTGACTCATCTGACTCATCTAACTACCGTCCCATTAGTCTTCTTCCTATCATAAGCAAGGTTTTTGAATCTTTAATTAACAAACACTTTATCTCTCATCTCGAATCTCATAACCTACTTTCTGATCATCAGTATGGATTTCGATCTTCTCGTTCTACGGCTGATTTGTTATCAGTAATAACCGATAGGTTTTATCGCGCATTAAATAAAGGTGGAGAGGTTAAGGCCATTGCTCTTGACATTTCTAAAGCGTTTGATAAAGTTTGGCATGCTGGTCTTCTCCATAAGCTTTCTTCTTATGGTGTATCTGGAAACATCTTTAAGATTATTGAATCTTTCCTTTCCAATCGTAGTATAAAAGTTTTCCTTGATGGACAGCACTCTTCTTCTTATTTTGTAACCTCAGGGGTTCCCCAAGGTTCAATCCTTGGCCCTATACTCTTTTTAATTTACATATATATATAACTAAAATTAAAAATATATAACAAAATAATATATAAAATTAATATTAAATTAAAATTAAAAAAATATATAAAATTAATATATAACTTTTATTAAAAACTTTAGTTCTTTCCACCAGCAAGCACTTATATTTTTGTTATTTTTTATAATATTCTAGTTTTGATATTATACTATATATAATTCATATCATAACATTAAAACTAGTATATTATAAAAATAAATAAAATTTAAGCGCTTGCTGGTAAAAAGAGCAAGAGTTTTTAATAGAAGGTATACATTAATTTAATTTTAAATCTTCTGCTTTCAAAAGTATGCGCGATTTTAATTCCAGTTTTATATCAATTCATTTTAATTTCAAATGTGTAATTTATGAAAATACGTGATTAACGAAAGTTTTTTTTAACGTCATGCATATTTATATTATTTATAAATTTTTATTATTATTTATACTGTTACCATTTTAAGGTATTGTTTTATAATTTATAATACTTAGGTTTATTAATTTTTAAAAGTCTTAAATAAGTTTTAATACAAAATTAAGTTAAAACATGATTCAACTTAATTTTAGAAGTTCATTAATGTATTAAATTTTTTAGTTATATTATTATTAAATTAATTATTTTTAAGTGTTTGATGAGTGTTTAAAAAGTATTCAATTGCGTTTGCGTTTTTTTCTATTCAATCCCAGGATTTCCCGGAGACAAATTTCTCCATTCTGAAATCCCGGGATATATATATATATATATATATATACATATATATATATATATATATATATATATATATATATATATATATATATATATATATATATATATTTATTTATATATATATATATATATATATATATATATATATATATATATATATATATATATATATATATATCTTATGGTAAAAAAAGTCTCTTTTGACTACAATTTTTTTACCTTGTCTCTTAAGTTGCATTTTATTGTCGTCGAAATGTCAAAGCAATTAAATTAATGTGGAAGTACATTAAATTTTATTGTTTTTAAAAAAAAACATAATAATAATGACTAGAAAGTTTTTTTTTAATTTGTGGTGTTTTTGTTTTTGTTTTATTAAAAAACATTTTTAAAACATTCGTAAGTGTTGCTACATCGAATATCTTATAAGCCTGCTGCTACAAGGAAGTGTATATATATATATATATATATATATATATATATATATATATATATATGTGTGTGTGTATATATATATATATATATATATATATATATATATATATATATATATATATATATATATATATATATATATATATATATATATATATATATATATACACACAACCCTCGGAATTAAGCATGCCATTTATAAATGAGTTTGCTGAGTAGTGAATAAATTTATGTTTCTGATGACACAAAGAAATTTAAACAAGATACTATTTTATTCAGTAAAGTTCAAAGTATCTGTCTATTCAAAGTATCAAAGTTAAATCTTATTATTATTGTTTTTTTTGTTAAGTCCAGAATTTTTTTTTTCTGAATTATTTTTATTTAGCATAAGTCTCCAATCTTTTGTATTTAACATAGGAAGTTTCTCTAATTTATTGTATTTAACATAAGAAATTTAACCATTTATCCATTTATTTAATTCATCCCTATATGATAAAGCCATAATTTATTGAAATATGAAAATAAGTCTGAAACATGAAATAAGTTTCTAACAGTTACATTTTTTGAATTTGAATTCTCTCATTTAGTTGATTTAGTAGAACCAAAATCAAATCAAATAATTTTAAAAAGTTGATTATTAGGCTAATAGCAATAGGGTTAACAATGACATTAGGGTTATGACAAAGAAATATTATTTTTAGACACCCAACAACATGGTGCCATCTATTACCAAAAATATTTTTCTCTTAAAGTAAATTAAGTTGGAACTTTAAAGAAATTTTTAAAATAAGGTTTTAAAAAATTATTTTTTTTGAATAAAAATCAATTTTTTTAAATTTTTTGTAAAAATAAAACATTTTCAAGTATAAATTATAAAAAAAAAATTTTAACACTATCTTTTGTAACAATATCTTCTGTAACACTATCTTCTGTAACACTATCTTCTGTAACACTATCTTCTGTAACACTATCTTCTGTAAGAAGGTTGATCATTTGAGAAAGATTTTTTTTGAAATCTCCATAAAACTTCACTTTTTTTGAGACCTAACTTAATATACTTTAGTAGAAAAATATGCAAGATAATATATGGCACCCACCATGTCAACGGGTGTTTTGGTGCATGACCTTTTTTAGAGCTGAAAAAATACGTCTAAACATATTTTTTTTGCTCTCATTAGAACATGGGAAAATAAAAATTAAGTATAAAATATTTTTTTTAATATCCTTTGTGAAAATAAAGTTTATCTTATTTCTCAATCTTATGAAAAAGCTACATAAAAAGGTGGATGGAAGAGTTAAACGTGAAAATTTTTTGTTTTTTAGCAGAGATAATTTGCTTAATAGTAATTTTTAATGATTTTTTTCTCTCGTATTATTGTTTTATTTTGTTTTTTTACATATTAAAAAGTTTGATTTTTAGTATTAAATCTAATATATTTATGAAAATAGTTGAACTTATAACATTGCAATTTTATTACAGCTTTGTAGCTATCAACATTACTACGGTATATCGCTAGCGACAAATCTGTAGATAGTCGGTGGCTATATATCGCAACATTTTAGCTACCGATATTTTATCGGTAACTACAGGCTGTAGGTGATGTAGCTAGTTACAACATAACGGCAAATCTAAAGCTTGTTGACGTTGTTTTTCAGCTAGCGATGTTGTTATAATAGCTACATATAGCTTTGTAGCAAGCTACTACACAACAACATTTCTGTGGCTACAATGTGACGATAGCCACCTATCGCAATAGAGATATGTGTATACATATTGTGATAGTGATATGTATATACATATTGCGAGAGATATGTGTATACATATTGCGATAGAGGTATGTGTATACCTATTGTGAGTTTTAAGTTTTAAAATTTAAACCAATAAGTCGATTGTTAAATGTTTTTTGCCGCTTGCTTAAACATAACTATAAATCAATAGGTAATCGATATCGTTACCTCAATCGATATCGCTACCTCAATCGATATCGCTACCTTAATCGATATCGCTACCTCAATCGATATCGCTACCTCAATCGATATCGCTACCTCAATCGATATCGCTACCTCAATCGATATCGCTACCTCAATCGATATCGCTACCTTAATCGATATCGCTACCTCAATCGATATCGCTACCTCAATCGATATCGCTACCTCAATCGATATCGCTACCTCAATCGATATCGCTACCTTAATCGATATCGCTACCTCAATCGATATCGCTACCTCAATCGATATCGCTACCTCAATCGATATCGCTACCTCAATCGATATCGCTACCTCAATCGATATCGCTACCTCAATCGATATCGCTACCTTAATCGATATCGCTACCTCAATCGATATCGCTACCTCAATCGATATCGCTACCTCAATCGATATCGCTACCTCAATCGATATCTCTACTTAAAGTGCTGTTGTGTTTACACACCACAGCTTTTTAGCTAGCGATATTATTATCACTATTTTATTGTAGCTTTACTATACCATAACAAAAAGTTTGTATTCTGCGAATTGTTAGTCATTTAATGTAAATCGCATAAAGTGCTTTTTATATAGCTTTCAACATGTTTGTTTCAGATAAAAGTACAAGTTAAAAAAAGATAAGCGAAAAATGGTAAAATTTGGGTGGTATAATTAAAAATCTGGCGTTGACATTGAATAATGCCTGTTGTGCAAAGTTGGTTTACGAACCCTAACCCTGCCACTAAATTACTTATATAAGATAATAATATATAATAATAGTAGTAAATATGAATAAAAAAGTAATAATACGGTGTAAGTATGAATAATAATATATAACAATTGAATGCAAATTTTTGCGGCTAATTGCTAGCATTTCTATTTAGCGATTAGCTAACTTGCGATCCTTGTGGACAAATCAAATTATTTATTTTACGATTTGTCGCTAGCTAGTTGCTAGCTTATGTCGCTAGCAATCCTCCTAACCAAATTGCTGTCATCGTTACGACTGTCGCTCTAGTCGCTAGCCGATTTCCCACCGGGTAATCTTAATATATGTAATGAAAATAATTGTTTATAGAATAATTTCACGACCCAATCAGAATTTGATTTGATAATCTTTAAAACAAAATCATTTGATTTCTATCTAATAATCCGTTTTTACTATTTTTTTTAAAGGTTCGTAACAGAGCTATAGAAGTCTGGGGGAGTGAAGATGGTATTGAAGAACAAAAAGAATTACGAACAGAAAACAAAGATAAATTAAAAAACAAAAAATTTGAAAAAAAGATAAAAAGTAAGAGTTTTATTTTTTTTGTGGAAAAAAAACAAAAAAAAGAACAAGAGTAAAAAGGTTTTCGATTTCTCTTTTGTGCAGATTTACGTGACACTGTTCGAACGAGTACTTGGCACAAAGATCTTTCAAAGCATACTCATGAGTACGACTCCGAGAACGAGGTTTATCACGAAGACGAAGATGTATACGAAAAAAAGTGTAAAACGTGTGACTATAAGTTAAAATATGAAAAAATGTAGTTTTTTTACATCAGTAGATTATTATATTTAGGACTTCAATTTTTTTGTTCAAAATAATAGTGAAATATTTTTTAACTTTTTTTTTTTTTTTTTTTTTCAATTTACTAATAAATTACTATTTTATAATTAACAGATTATTATTCAATATAAGGTGTGACATGTAATCTATAATATTTTAAATAATATTTTAAGAAATAAAAAATATAAAAAGTTTGTTGGCATACACAACCAGTAGTTTTTTATCTTTTTTACAATAAATTGTATCTACGATTGTCTGTGTGTATTTTCTAAAATCAATGAATTCCTTTAATCTGCAAAATTAAGTCATTTTAACATAGTTTGGTAGAGAATTCTACATTTGCTAAATATTTCTAAAAACTATGGATGTACCGGAATGCCGGCCGGATTTTGTGTCTTAGATTAATTCGCTTCTGCAAAATGTATTTGCAGTACAACGATATCTGCAAATAAAATTACATTTGTATTTTTTACCTAGGTTTACCTCTTCATTGCTCTGTAGGATAATGATTTTTTGATATATTTACACAACCTGTGTCACGTCATAAAAAAAAATTAAATTTTTTTTTAATTCCAGCCTGAAGCGAATTGATCTAAAAGACACAAAGTCCGGTACGTCACTATATATATATATTATATACTATAACTATATATGTTATATATATATATATATATATATATATATATATATATATATATATATATATATATATATCATTTCCTGTAGTACTAATAGATAGAAATTTTCCTATTAATGACTAAAATGACCTTTATTTCAATAAAATATTGAAAAAGGTCACGCGCGAACCAATATGATATGTAATTTAGGCCGTTTTAGCGTAATATATATTTTTTCAACAATATTTATGTATAAGTCACTAAACCAACTTGTATAATAATTTATGTACTACATATTATTATAGAGACAGACTCGTCAGAGTCGTTGGCTGCGATCGACCCCTCTTTTTGTACCAAATTGTCATTGTTTCACGCAAATTTTGTAATAAAAACTAAGCAAAATATTTTTTACTCTAAACTTCTTCGTTTTTCAAAAACAAACGTATTTAAAAAATCTTACGTTACTGCCCTGAGAAAATTGTTGGGAATTTTCCAGAATGCGTTTGAGAATTTTCTTACAATTTCCTTTAGTTGTTTTGCAGTGAGGTGTTCAAAATAAACAGTGAGGTGTTCAAAATGGATAGTTATGTTAGTTAAGATAGTTAAGTTTATATTAACTTAATTTTGCGCGAACACTATTGTTGTCTAGTTAAAAGAGATCTTTCGTTATTTGGTGAGCTACAAGAGGCAAAGTCGCAATTTACGAAGGATCTTTAAGCAAGAAGATCCACATGCCGCAGAAAAATCAAGCCATTGGACGCTTCAAATTTCTTGAATCTACCACCTAAGAACGGAAAGAGAGAATCAGTGTAATTGTTGTTGAGCATAAGCCCTATGGAGCAAAAAATTGAATTTTTAACATGTATCTGAATCAAGTCATTTGTGCATAATTAGTAAAACTTTTGAAAGACTATGAGCGCTGCAGAAATAAAAAAAACTTCAAAGCAACATTGTCAACAGTTACTAGCCACCTTATTGGTCTAAAAGTAGCATGGACTCCGACTCATCTGAGAACAGTAAAAATAGTTCTTAGAATAATGAGATTGCAGCATCAACGAACAAATAGAAGCGAACCCAATACAAATAGCAAAAAGCCTTGTTACAATCTCGAAGTCTCCGGAGCAGCAAAGATGTGCCGCCAGCTCTGGTGCTCCGTGGTGTGGGCATTGAAATTCCAACTCCAAACTAGTCAGCAATAAACAAAGCTATATACATATAGCTTTATTTATTGCTATATGTATATAGCTTTGTGGTCCTTCAGAATGAAGCAAAAGAAATTAAGTTGACTGCGTTCAAATTGAAAAATTGGAAAGCTCAAACAATTGTAGAAATAATTCACAATGTATCATAATGACTATATATACATAAAGACTATATGAATTTGTGAACCAATCATTACAGCTAATAAGATATTCGGAATTCTAAAATTATTATTCAACAATTAAGAATAAAATCAAAAACTAACTAATCAGTATTAAGCAATAACTAATAAGAAACAATGTTAACACTAATTAATAATAGTATAGCAATTAAAGTATATAATTATTATAACTTATATTAAAAATAATTAATAAAACTTATTTATCAAAACTTAACAGTAATTTGATACACAATATAATTTTTTTTTTTTTTATTTGTTATTTTAGGTGCCCCAAGGAGTCCTAACGGTCTTATCATATATCACCGCAGAAGCGTATTTAACCAGAAAGTTCACGCCTCCTTTCTTCCGATGACGCGAAATATATCCAAAGCTCGTTTCGAACCTGGATCTACTGCTTATAAAGCAAGCGGTCTAACCACTGCGCCACGGCCGCAAAATTATATGCTAATGATAGCAATGTTATGTAGATCATCGAATTTCTGAATTTTGAGATCATCAAAATTCTGAGATCATCAAATTTCTGAGAAAAATTTAACCTTACGATACTTTGGTAGTTTTTATATAATGTTTCATACACAGACACATATTTTTTTGTTTAATAAAAAACCTGTTTTAGGTTAAAGTGTTTTCTGATAGTAAAAATAATAGTTTTAAAATGGGTCTAGGAGTCATAAACATTCCAAACTGCTATAAAAAAGATGTGCATCTTAAACTTAATCTTTACTCACAGGTACAACTAGACACAATAAAATTGATCTTTTAGACCTGCTATTTATAACTTATTATAATTGGCGTTTAATTCAAAAATTTAGTATTTAAAGTAATTAACAAATTAAAATTCAAACTATAGGGATCAACTGTGATGGGTGTTGTCGATACAAAAAATATAAATACTGGCTAGGAGACAGGTGTTGTTATTTTACTGCACCAAATATTTAAACGGAAAGGTTACCACAAACGCAAGTTTATCCTTTGCACCATGTGCTGGATTGCATTCTTCGCGTTGTTTTAGACAATGAGCCCAATAGATTGACTAAATCACCAATCATTGAGTACTTCTTTGTAAAGAATTTAATGAGCAACTACGATAAATTGAATTCAGTCTTCAGCAACGGTAAAAATGAAATTAAGGAAACGAGCGGCTGCAGAGACAACATGAAGTTTCTTTACCATCTCAATCGAGCCTTTCGGGACTACGCTGAGATGAATGATTACTTTAATCTTTCGTAAAGTTTTAGTATAAGTTAGTAAATTTAGTTAAGTCAGTAAATTACTCTTAGTAAAGTTTCAACAGGTTTCAAACATCAGCAATGCACACTGGAAATCTTAAGCCATTTTAGCCCTTCTTGCGTTTATTCTGATGTCTAAAACCCGTTACAGGCTGCGTAAAATCTGTTCATTAATTTCCTACTCATGGACCGACCATTGGTTTAGCAGTCAATTGTTCCGCGATGAAGAATTTTGATAAACTATCTGCACTGCTGATGAACTATCTTAAAGGTCTCAGATGCTTGTAAAATCACTGGAAAACATAGACATCTTCAATCAACATTGCCCGAAGCAACTAGTGCTGTGAGAGTACGATCAAAGTTTTACAAGACCTGTATAACAACAATAAGGACAAAAAGGACAACCTCCCACTAAATCTCATCCTGTCTAATGACATTATCGTAAAAATTAGACTTCCTTGTGTGTTTGATGATCCTATAAAATGTTGCATACATGTAACTCTGAAGCTTGTGTTCAATTTTGTAACTGCTTAAAGGGACCTCAAAAATTAGGCAAAAATGTCACTTACAAAATAATTGGCCAATAGACGGCAAATTTCAAAACTGTTTCAATAAGAATTATTTGACCCAACTTATAACATTTACAACTTACCGTAAAACTCGTGGGGATTCTATAAAAAATACACTCGAGTTGATTCTAAAAAATAAACCAAATCAATTAATAAACATAAAAGAAGCAAGTCCTCTTGGTTACACTTTCAAATGACAGACACACTTTTTCATTAAAGGAAAGAAAGCTTGACCAAGAAACTAATGAAACAGAAATTAAGTTTTCAACCCATCAAAGCAAAACCTACTATAACACAATCTCTATACTTTACATATTAATACGGTTAGCACGGATCCTGACAATAACGAACTAGCTGACCTAAGAACGCCACTTATAAGGGGTAATAGCGTACACATCAAGGTACTCTGTAATGCAAGTTTTGAAATTTTTAAAACTTATTCGCATAAAATAGTTTGAATCTTCAAATTAAGTTTGAATCTTCAATTTTTTATTTGAATAAAAACATTTTTATTGGCCCTTGAAACCTTTGTAAGTACATTTTTACTGGCCCTTGAAACCTTTGTAAATACATCGACTTTCAAAATGAAGTGAAAGAACAACTATATAAACTATATATGAAAATTTTTACAATATGTTACTATCAAATTTTAACATTATATTACTATCAAATAGAAGCTGATTTTTTACATTATATTACTATTAAATAGAATCTGATTATTTTGTAAGACAATGTCTTTGATTTTCTCTTTAAGAAATTTATTTAAAATAAATAATTTTTTTTTTTTTTTTTTAATTTATTTACTCTTTTAGTCAAATAGTTTTCAATAATTTTAAATGCAATATATTTTAAATGCAATATATTTTAAATGCAATATATTTTAAATGTAATATATTTTAAATGCAATATATTTTAAATGCAATATATTTTAAATGCAATATATTTTAAATGCAATATATTTTAAATGCAATATATTTTAAATGCAATATATTTTAAATGCAATATATTTTAAATGCAATATATTTTAAATGCAATATATTTTAAATGCAATATATTTTAAATGCAATATATTTTAAATGCAATATATTTTAAATGCAATATATTTTAAATGCAATATATTTTAAATCACTGTATGTAACGAAATCACTCAGGTGTTGACGTGCTCTTAAGAAGCTCTTATTAAAA